AAGGTCCCGGGCCAATCGGACCTCCGACTGTGCTTCCTAGATGCCTTCGTCTTCTACTCGGCATCGGCCGGGCTCAAGGCCCCAACACCCATCGGTTTGCCTGCCAAACCACAAGCAGTGACGCCTAAAAAGACTGCAGTCTTATTTTGCAAGGTGCCCCAGGATTTTACCACACCGAAGCTGTGGCAGGACTTCCTTGCAAAGCCTCAGAAGCACATTGCACAGTGGACTGCTGCGCAACACATTTTGTGCATTGACTGCTTTGGCTGGTCTGAAGAAAAACTTAAAGGTGGCAAGCGCCAAATCTTTGGGGCCATCAGAGTCGCTCAGGCCGATGTGGCGCAACTACTTTCGCGATCAGGTGACCTTGGTGTTTTTCTGCAGCAGCCTCGTGACCAAACTGCCAATCAGCACGTTGAATGAATACCTCGCCTGAATAAGACCGAGCCACATCAGGAGTACCTCACCCGCGCCGTGCGCTCTAGAGGCGAGCTAGGCCTCGTGTGCCGTGAGGGTTCCTTAGGGTGGCGACGTGCCAATGACGCCACTTCTGCAGTCAAGAGGGTGTGGATGCTGGAACATTGCCCAAGGGAGTGGGATCTTCAGCAAGTTGCGGCACTCCTCCAAGAGCATTTTGCTGACGTCACGATGTTCCGCCAGCTCCAACGGGGCAAGTGGAAAAGCTTCGTTTTTCGCGCATCATGCCGCCGTGGTTCAGAGTGTGACCTTGTCGCTGTCCCCATTGAGATCACTGAAAATGGAGAAAAACAGTTCTTCACTTGCTGGGCCAAGATTGCCCCTCCCAGGCAACAGCCGAGCCAGCGGCGCCAACTCAAAGGGGGTGACGTGCCTTTCGTCGAGAGCACCGATGTGTTCGCTCCGCAAGTCATTCCTGTGTCGCAGGCCTCCAATGAGGAACCCATGGATGTGAATGGTGATGAGCAGACCACGTCTCGCAAACCACCAGACCCGGCGACGGTCAAGAAGCAGCGCAAAGAGCACCGTCCGGTGCCGGAAGGCACCGTACTCAAAGCACAGCCGGCCGATGGAGATTGCCTTTTTCATACCATGGCTGCGGCTTTGTTGTGGATCTCCAAATCTAAGATTGATGTTCACCCCCATGAACTCCGTGCCAGAGCCGTTGCTCATCTTAAACGTCACAGTGAACTTTATGAGGAGCAGTGGAAGGCGGCAGGTCAAAAAGGGCCCGAAGATCAAAAGCTTGACACTTGGACCCAGTATCTTGATCAGGTGGCCCAGCCGGGCAAGTGGACCGGCGAGCTTGAACTACGAGCCTTATGCAGGATCTACGACCTCAGGGCCGTTGTTGTACCGGAAGACCCCTCCTTCCAGGTTGCGGCATACCATCGTAAGGCAAAGGCACATCGCACCATTGCAATTTATCACACCTCGGGACATTTTGATTTTCTTGCACCAAAAGAAGACGCAACGAAATACCCCGAAGCCCTCCGATCCATTGACACCGATCCCAACGGGGGGTTCCTTGTAGGGGGTGGTTCCGAGTTCTCAGGGTTTTCTGGTCGTTCCAAGTGGACAGCTAGCTCACCCTCGCAACATTTCAGCGCCCGCACCAGGCTTACGGTCAAGACCAACAGGCCCTCTGACCGACACCCTGATGCTTCCTCGGCCTCGCAGCAGCCTGATGGAGATGCCAAATCCCAGACCGGCACGGTGTGGACCAAGGCTCTCACTTCGCGGCCACCTGCATCCTCCCAGGCCATTCTTGACTCTCAGGTTTGTCAGGGATCCACCGGTGATGCTGAGGATGCAGTCTTAATCGATGCAGATGCCCTCCAAGCAAGTTCCAGCCAGGCCACCACCAAGCGTAAGCGCTACAAAGCGCAAGTGCCTGGCGATGTCCCGCAAAAAGGCTTCTACATTTGCAGACTGTGTGCCTTCCGAACTCCCGTTGCTAATCAAAAGCAGCTCTCGGTTGCGCGCTATTCCCACTGCATGCGCCACCACGGGGGCGAAGGCCTGCCAGGCCTCGCCAAACGTGCTGAACCATATATCGTCCAGGTCACAGACCAGGACAAAGGGCTATTCTGGAAGTGCAAATGGTGCCGCAGCGGCATCCGCAGGGCTGTGGGGGAGGCTGCCAGCCCCAAAATCATTGCCCAAGCGATCCGAGCGCACCTCCGTACTAAACATGCTCGTAAGAATCAGGCGGCTAGGCAACAAGCCCATGTTGGAGTTTCCCACGCCCAGGCCACCAGAGTTAGGAAATGGAACGCCGCCGTCTCCAAAACTTTTGCTAAGCGCACTGACCTTTTGCACAAGGGATATGAGAGCTTCCTTTGATTCCTTTGGCCTATTTTAAAAAAGTTTCGCAAGGGCCGGCCAGACCTCCGCATCTCTTTTATACGAGCGTGGCGCTGCGGCAATTGTAAGATGTGCTTCAAAAACCTTGCTTGTGTCAACAATCATAAAACTTGCAAAGCTGTCACTGCAGCCAATGGCCGCAAACGCAAGCTTGCCGATCTTGCCAAGGTCCGCACTTGGTGCCTGAAGCACCCAAGCAAAAATACTATGTCCGAGGCTGAGACGCTTAAAATCTTTGCATTGGCCAAGCAAGCCCTCCAGGGGCGTGAGCTCCAATCGCAGGTGTGATCCGGGTTGCCTCTTGCAACCTTGCTGGAGCTGGCATTTCACGCACTGTTTTGACCCTCCAGCACTTAAAGAATTTTAATCCCGATATCATTTCCCTTCAAGAAGTTGACATCCCCAAGCGGTGTGCGGCAGCATACGCTAGGGAATGGAGAACCCTTGGATGGCAAATCGTCTTGGCAGCAGCCGAGCCACACTCAGGATTGCACAGGGTTGCCGTTGCTTGCCGCATTCAGTGCCGCCCCGTCAGCCTGACTACTGAAATTGCGCGGACTCGTCATGCAGCCATTCTCGTGGAAACCCAGGCTGCACACATCCGCCGACCTCTCCTTATGGTCGCCATCTATGGGTTTTCGGGTGATCTTCCCTCCACCAACCTCATGGTGGACGAGCTCGCGGCTGCGTGCTATGCATTCCGAGGGCCACACATTCTGTTCGGTGATTGGAACATGACTTCAGAAGAAGGCTCGATACAAAATCACTTGATGTCTGGAGCCCTCAGGTCCATGGATGATCCTTTCCCCATGGAGCTCTGCTGCACCAACCCGGGCCGAACTCGGCGCATAGACTACGGTTTGAGCGATCCTTCGATCTTCCCCACTGAGGTGTGGCACCATGAAGGTTTATGTGATCATACCACTGTAGGCTACTGCCTCAACCTCTCGATTAACTTTTCAGGTTTTGAGCTTCCCCCTCGGGCCAAAATCAGGGATCGATCTAAGGAAGATATACACGAATCCTTCAGCGAATGCTGGCCTCACCAAGCCTTCGAACAGGTCCTCGATGCAGGCAACACCAACGAAGCATGGAGGTTGCTGTCGTGGACCGCGGAGCAATGCCTCTGTGATCTCGGTGCCAAGCCTGGCACTGTGCCCCGCTCGGATCCCTGTGAGCCGCAACCCAAGCAGCTCCCAAAATCTTGCATCACAGTCTACGGTCGCGAATCAAAGGGGCTGCAGGGTTTAAGACACTTAAGTCACCGGTTGCAGGAGTTACGACGTGACCCCTCTAACAATAGCCTCCGCATGAAAGTAAAATCATCCTTGCAAGGTGTTCGCTTGAGCGTGCCGGACCTCCCTTCGCTCCCAGAGGGTCGCGAGGAAACGGGTTTGCCCAGTGTTAACGAACTGCTTGAGGCTTACGTGGCACAGGAACGCTCCGCTGCCATGGCTCAGTGGAGGCAGCGAATTTAGGTGCAGCCCAACAGGCAAATCGCTTGGGTTAAAGCCCGCGCCCAGCAGGCTTGTGATGCGGCCGCCGCGCCACCGGAGGTCAGCAAAGCCATCTCGGCGATACATCCGACTTCAATCTTGCAGCAACACGGCAAGGCGTGGGCAGAACTGTGGACTGCGCCAGCAGGCTTAAACTTCACCACCCCTACCATGCAAAGCATCCTTGAAGCAGTGCCAAAAAGGGCCCCCTTTTCAAATGAATTTCCTGGCGATTTTTCTTTTGAACCGGAGGAACTGATTGCAGTCGCAAAACAAATGAAAGGAAAAGCGGCGGGGCCAGACGCGTGGAAGTCTGATCATCTGCTTGAATTACCCATGCCCTGGTGGGTTCAGTTCACACGCCTTTGGAACTCTATCCTGCAGGGAGCCCAGACGCCGATGCAATGGCGCCGTGGCCTCGTGGCATTGTTACCCAAACGGGTAACGTCAACACGCCCGATCGGGCTTCTCCAAGTTGCTTGGCGCATCGGCACAAAATGTCTTTGCAAACGTTTAAGAAAATGGATCCTCTCCTGGGTCAGCCCGAGTGCCTTCGGCGGGGCTCCGGGATTCTCAACAGCAGACGCACACCTTCGAATTGCTTCAGCCCTAAAAAGGCAAGTAAATTCTTTTGTCGTGCAAGATTTAAAAGGCTTTTTTGATCATCTTCAACTTAACGCCGTAATCCCGATCCTCAGACGGCTCGGTGCACCCAGCTGCCTGGAAACACGCGACACATGAGGCTTGCCTCTATTAGCTTTATTTTCCTAGGAGAGTTTTGAAAATCACTGCGAAGTTTTCAAAACGCCTTTGCTTTATTTTGAACCACATTTCATGGCATGAATTCATGCTTTGAATCGTCTGAGTTCATCTCTTTTATTTCCCGCGCCGCCTCGAGACAGGGGTGGGATGGGTGGGTAGCTACTCCCTGGCCAAAGGGCCGGAAAATTTTGTAGTGGGGTGTAGCGTTTGCCATGCTGGCCTGACAAGGCCGAGTTTGCAGCCAGCATGTCAGGGGACGACTCTCTTGAAAGTAGCCTCAAGAAGGCTCGTGTGCATGGGGCTTATGAGGGTCACCATGTGTCGGCCACGCGTGTTGCATCCCGAGGGCTTGGAAGCACAGTTAGGATGCCGTGGGAAATAGCTTCTACATTTCTTGACATGCCTGCTTTGCCCTCGCCTTTTGCCAAAGGGGGATGCATTGTGTCAGCGCCAGTGGGGCCGGCCGGTCCTGCAGGGCCGGTGAAGTCGTCTTCGGGAAAGCTTGAGTCACTCAGGCTTGCGGGAGTGAAGATTCCGAGTGTGCCGGGACAAAGCTGGGATCAGAAACTCTCTGAGGCGAGGGAAGCAGCTTTGGCAAAGTGGCTAGGGATTCTTGAAAGGTTCCCTGACGATTTCGGTCTTTCTCTGTCGATTCGGCTAGATAAGGAGAACGGGCGAGACTCTGACTTGAAGTCTTCCTTGCAAGATGTGTTTTCTCAGAAGGCGAGCATCACGATCTCGGGCCGTGCTGGGCCCCTTGCCAGGTACATCAAGCACTGCCGAAGTTGCCAGGTCATTCCTTTCCCTGTCACTGAAGCAGGGATCTATGCTTTCCTGCAGGATTATGCATCTCACGAGGCGCCCACTTTCGCCAGGAGCTTCTTGAGCAGCCTTGCCTTTGCAAAGTTCACTGTGAGCTTGAAGGTGAGTGATGAAGTCTTCAGCCCCAGGGTCCGTGGGCTGTCGTCGAAGCTGTATCTTGAAAAGAGGAAGACTCGGCAAAAGCCGTCGCTCAAAGTTGATCATGTGCGGAAGTTGGAGGCTATCGCTTCCGGCTCGATCGTGCTCGAGCCTTCAGACCGGGTCGCTGCTGGCTTTTTCGTGTGGACCTTGTATGCACGAGCGAGGTACTCGGATGCCCAAGCTGCAGGTGCAATGACTTGTGACTTAAGCGATACGCCGGACGGCACAGTCGGATACCTGGAGTCCGCTGTCGAGCGAAGCAAGACTTCGTTCTCACTGGAAAGAAAGGTCAGGTATTTGCACATGTTTGCTCCCATCCAAGGTATAGGTGAGGCGCCCTGGGGTGTCAAGTGGTTTGAGTTCTATAAGGAGCATGGGCCTCCTTTGGGGTCTGGCAAGCCCTTGCTTCCGAGCCCGCTCTCTGGCGGAGGGTGGCAAACATCGCCGCTGGCGGTGGCGAGTGCCACGAAATGGATGAAGTCACTCTTGATCCGTGCGGGTTGTGACAGGTCTTCCGTTGAACCGCTTGGGACGCATAGTCTCAAGGCAACGACCTTGAGTTGGAGCGCCAAATTCGGACTACCCCGCGAGGTGAGAGCGGCCCTAGGCTACCACGCCAGGGGCCGTGACGGGACCGAGCTCATCTATGGGAGAGACAACATGTCTGCTCCTGTGCGCCAACTGCAAAGGGTTCTGCTCGAAGTGTCGCGCGAAAGGTTCATGCCGGACGCCACCAGGTCCGGTTACTTCGTGAAGCGCTTTGAAGATCCAGAGGGAATGCCCATTCCTCCTGATGAGGTTTTGTCGGAATCTTCTTCCGAGGCCAGCGAGGATGCCGAGGATGTCGATCATGTAGCTGCGGAGGCGGCCACCGACGAGTTGGGAAGGCAATGGGAGCCCGATGCAGGCTTGCGTGCCGAGCTTGAAGCAGTCCCTTTGTTCAGGAACAGAGACAGCCGTTTCATCCATGCTGTCGCATCCGAAGAAGGCGACAAGTTCAGATGTGGGAGAAATATCTCGACCAGGTATGAAAGGTTGTCTTCCGTCCCTCGAATTTTGTTTCCGCTGTGTAGAAGCTGTTGCCCACCTAAGAAGTGATGCTGAGGAGTGCAGTGAAAAGGAGTTTCTGAGTTTCTGAGCGTTGCGCGCTTAGGCTGAGTGCTTCCAGGAGTGTGTGCGATTCGTAGTTTTCGAGTGACATGCATCAGTCAGAAGCAAGCATCGCTTTCATGAGGAGTCGGCTCAGTCTTAGGAAGTCTGTGCTTGAACCTGGTAAGTCAGAGCTCAGGCCACGAGGTGCGGATTCGGGAGTGTTCTGAGAACTTTCAGCGATTTGTAGGAGTTCACTAGCTCGGTTCCTGCTCCTGTCGATGGCTAACTACTCTGAGAGTCAATCGGTTCTGCAGTCGCGATTGAGTGTCGTGGGTTTCGCAGAAGATGACGTTCAGAAAATCCTGCCAGAGGTGGGAAACTTGAGGAGGCTGGCTTTCATTTCTTCTTTCACACCTGGCCAGACTGACGAGGGGCCGTTGATGCAGGTGTTGAAAGACATTTTGAAGCGAGACTTGACAATTGCAGACAAGGCTAATTGGCGCGCGGTTTACAATGAAGCTTTCGCCATTGTGACCGCGGAAATGAAGCAGAGGATTGAGAAGGCCGACCCAGAGTCGACCGTCAGGCCTTTGTCTCAGCCTGAGAGGTCGGAGCGGTACGAGCGGCAGGCCAAGAAGCTTGTCGGGATTTCACTGAAAGGGCCTCTGGAGCCTGCCGATGCACTTGTTGATCTTGCTGTGGCTTCCTATGAGGCAAATGAGCTGAGGTACATTCCGTGGGACCGGTGTGTGTCCAAGGAAGCTGAACTGGCTGGCGAGAAGAAACGCGATGTCAGGTTCACTGTTGAGGAGTCTTCGGGAAAGCTTCGGATCGAGCACAAACAGCCTGATCTGGTTGCGGATACTTCATCGGAGATTCTTGTTCAGCAGGCTCTCACCCGGAGAGCTTTGGCCATGGATCAGGCGAACCTGATCGAGTTCAGTGTTGCTGATAAGTGGACTCAACGCTTGATGAAGGCCCGCATGCAAGAGCCTGCGGAGCATTTTGCCAGGCCCACTTGGAAGCAACTTGAGTCGGCGGATCGGCAGCTGTTTGCCGAGCTTCGTGATAAGACCAGGGCAGGAGTGCAGACAGTCGCATCGGGTCGCCCGTTGGACACACTTCTGCCAGATGCGATGTACATGAACGAAGTGTCATGTTTGTTGCAACCTTTTCCGGCCCCTGCCTTAAAGGATGTTCCCCAGAAGCCGGATGCTCCCAAGTGGGAGAGGCCTTCTCCTTACAACAAAGGTGGAGGCAAAGGAAAGAAAGGTAAGCAGAGGTTCATGACGAGGTTGCCCGCCGGCCTGGAGGGCTGCAGGTCTCACACCAATCGTGGTGACCCAATCTGTTTTGCATTCAATCTGGGAGGATGCCCTACCAAAGGGCAGAAGTGCGAGAAAGGCCTGCACATTTGCGCAGTGCCTAAGTGCGGTGCTCACAACCATGGTGCAGCGCAGTGCCCAAAGCGGGCTCAGGGTGGCTCGTGACTAGCGGGTCACGAGGGTGCGTCGCTGATGGCCGGTGCTCCAGAGAGTGTGCATCAGCCGGCAGCGGGAGCCTCACAGGTGGATGATCTCCTAGAGGGAGTTCATCGGCCGAGCAATGCATGCGCCGGCGGCTCTCCTCCGAGTGGTGTGGAGTGTCGTCTGCAGTCAGGTGTTGATCGAGAGGATCATCACATGCACAACGTTGGCTCTCACAGTGCCATCTCCAGGCCATCACCAGGTGTGGTGGAGGCCGCACGCAGCAGGTCCCCGAGGCCCCGTGATGGGGCACAGGCGCAAAGAGGTTCTTCACCTGACGAGGGTCATGTGAGTGCCGCCGATGTTCTGCGGGTTTTCGATGGTCTTCCTTCGGATGCCTTGAAGAGGGGTGCCGATGCACCTCTCCCAACTTCGAAATCTTATGCCACGGGAGCGTATGTTCTTGGTGGTAATGTAGGCCTGAAGGCCAATGCCTCAGCCAACCCGGAGGCGCTCAAAGTCTTTGCAAGGTTTGTGAGACAGCGTGCACCGGGGTTTAAGTTTTCTTCGATAAATATATTTGAGGATGTTCGCACTGAGCGCCATCGAGATCAGTGGAATGCCAACTTGCATAACTTGGCGATTGCACTGACTGACTTCTCAGGTGGAGCTATCTTTGTGGAGCATGAAAACGGTCGAGATGTATCCGACCTCAATGGGGCACGAGGCTCTCGCTTGCAGGTTGCTAAGGGCCCTGTCCGATTCAATGCCAGACACAATTGGCACTACACCGAGGCGTGGCAGGGCCGTAGAGTCTTGCTGGTTGCATTCACCATCCGTCATGTCGAATCGCTGTGCAAGGAACATCTTGACTTTCTCCGCGAGTGTCATGTTGATGTTCCGGAATGCGCGCCCGAGGGCGCGCGGTTGGCGCCTGCTGAAGCGTGTGCTCGTCAGCCGCCATCCTTGACCTCCCCCGCAGCTCAGGAGTCGCTTAGGCCCTTGCCCGCTTCGGTTGTCCCCGCCGTTGACCCTAAGGAACCTGTGAGCGACCCTGCTAGTCCCTTAAAGCCCGGTTCTGCTCTCTATGTCGAGATAAAGTGTGGGTCCGGATTGCTGCCGGCTCGGGTGCGGCGGGACGGATTTCAAATCATAGCGCTTGAACATTCTCGCCCCGCTGGGCGAGTGCACACTCACCTTGTCCCTGTGGACATTGAAACTGAGTCGGGTTTCTCCTTTGTGCAGACTGTCATCAGCCACGATGCCCCTTTTCACGTGCATTTCTTTCCTGCGACCAAGGATTGTTTTAAGGCTACTTTTAGCGCCGGGCAAACCATTCGCATCGCCAAACTCTTGCTTGCATCTGATTCGCATTGGAGTGTCTTGCATCCCCTGGCGTCAGCCCTGTGGAAACAGCTCGCCTTGCCCGACAACCTCCATTGCGTAGACTTCTGTGCAGGTTGCTACGGGGCTCCCAGTCCGGTCAAAATGCGTCTGTGCACAACCCAGGCCGCGCTGGCTGGC